GGTCCAGTCTCACGGGGGTGGGGGTGGGGGATGGGGGGGCAGCAGAGAGGGACCTGGCTCCTGCATAGGGCAGCGGCGTTCAGTGGTCACAGCAGGGGGGTAGGACTCCGGCTTGTCCCTGGGGCCGGGCCCCTCCTGGCTCGGTGCGACTGAGCGGGGGGGACCGGGCGGGAGGACCCAGCTACCTGTCTCCAGCCTGCGGCTGCAGGGGGAACGGCAGCGTCTCCTTGTAGCTCTGCTCCTGGATGCGGTACTGCAGCGTCACGCCCCCCACGGCTGCGCCTGGGGGCTGCAGGCAGAGGAAGTGTCTGAGTTTGTGTGTGAGGGTGGAGAAGATGTCCGGGGACCCCTTTCTTATGCAATTTACAGGACAAAGTGGTAAATACGTCCAATTTACACAGAGAGTTACCTAGGCAGCCCAATGGTCATCATTAGGTGCCAGAGTTAACAATTCCCCTTGGCATCAATGCAGTTGGGCCAACCCCCTGTGTCTTGGCTGTTGTTAGGGGCCAAAGTGAACAATGTCAATTGGCAGCAACGGGGCTGGGTCGCACAGACCCCACCTCCCCATCAGCCATCACTAGGGGCCAGAGTGAACAATCCCCATTGATGTCAATGGGGCTGGGTAGCACAGACCCCACCTCCCCACCAGCCATCACTAGGGGCCAGAGTGAACAATCCCTATTGCCGTCAATGGGGCTGGGTAGCACAGACCCCACCTCCCCACCAGCCATCACTAGGGGCCAGAGTGAACAATCCCTATTGCCGTCAATGGGGCTGGGTAGCACAGACCCCACCTCCCCACCAGCCATCACTAGGGGCCAGAGTGAACAATCCCTATTGCCGTCAATGGGGCTGGGTAGCACAGACCCCACCTCTCCACCAGCCATCACTAGGGGCCAGAGTTATCGCCCAGCCAGGAGTTCTCACGGTCCTGGGGGTGCCCCGCACGGGGCCTGGCGCTCTCACCTGGGGCTGCCCACGGAGCTGGGCGTAGACCAGGCACCGCTGCCCGGAGAAGATCACCTCGGGGGCCGGGCCCATCAGCGCCGCCTCCATCCCGGGGGGCAGGTCCCAGCTCAGCGCGACGCCGCTCACGGCCGGCTGCAGGGCCTTCTTCAGAGACTGCAGCGCCTGGGGGGACACCGCACGGGGAGCCGGACGCCTGGCTCCTCTCCCGGCTCGGGGGGGAGGGGCTCTGGGGGGGCCGGGAGCCCGCACCCCTCTTCAGAGACTGCAGCGCCTGGGGGGACACCGCACGGGGAGCCGGACGCCTGGCTCCTCTCCCGGCTCGGGGGGGAGGGGCTCTGGGGGGGCCGGGAGCCCGCACCCCTGGGGTCTCACCTTGGGCTGCATGCGGTCCTGGGCTGTGCTG